AGAGACAGAGAAAGAAAGAAAACACCCCCTAGCCAACGTTCAGGAAGTGCTGAAGGTGTTCAGGGACACTGTCTATCGTAATCTGGCACACATCAGGGAACGCCTGGTGATAAATCAGGTGTACATCGGGTGTACACGTCGTGGGTGGCCACAACGCAATCTTTTCGCCTCCATTCTTCTCTCAGGGTTTTAGCCATGCACATACATGGGTCTGGGATGTTTTCAAAGCAGCTGAGTCTGGAATTCAAATGTTGCAGTTGGTCATGAGGGATCCAGCTGCCTTAACTACCGCTCCACTGGCTGACCTGGCATTTTCAATATCATCTAAAACATTCAACTAATTCAGAGAATGAAAGCAAAAACAAAATAGGAGCCAGCAGGTGGTATGGTGGTTAAAGGCACTGGATTCCCACGTGGCCTAACTGTGGTTTGAGTCCTGGACCTGGCAGCTTGCTTTCTCATTTTCCATCTCTCTCTCACTCACTCTCTCCCTTTCTGGTCAAATTCAAATAAATAAAGTTAAATTAAATTAAAAAAATGATTAATGGGTGGGTTGGTAGGGGATGAGGAGTCATGCCTATATCATAGTGAAAGACAAATTTAAGTTATAGTCCTTTAAAATGTGTGTTTATGACGTTTGTTGAGCAGTTACTACATGTCAAGCAGTGTATACTTTGAATGCAATGATCTCATTGTATCCGGCTGGTATCCTATTGTATTGCCATTGCTTCCCAAGTGAGGAAACCGATGCACAGAGTTCAAGCATTTGGTCAGTAGCTCACAGGAAGTGACACAGATAGGATTAGAACTGTGTGTCTCTCTCTGCTGTCCAAGTCCATTATCTCTGGCTGGCTCTGTGGTGCATGGTAATGCTCAAGAGAAGCTGGATCCCACATGGCACATTTTTAATTCCAGGCCCAGTCAACCTGAAACACACTGGGCATGTATGCGAGTGCCCAAGATTTGAAGGGCTGGAGGACTAGACAGGAGGACAGCAATTGTGACATGACTTGACCCTTTGGAAGGTGCATTTCTCTCTCTCTCTCTTGCTCATTCTCTATCATGAATAAAGACATTTTTTTGGTAGACAGATTTTTGCTATAAAGTGTGTACCTGCCTTTAGAGACAGAGAGAAACAGAGAGACAGAAAGTGAGACATTACTCCTAGGGGAGGTGGCCATACCATAGTCCATTCTCTCCTCCATTCTCTTCTCAGGATTTTGGGCATGCACACACCTGCACCTGGTGTGAGTTTTAAGCTGCCAGGTTTGGGACTCAAACCATGGTCAACTACGTGGGAGTCCTGCGATGTTAACCATCACACCATCTGCTGGTGACAAGAAAACATTTTTTAAAGGCAGTTATCTTTTTTCTTTTTCTTTCTTCCTTTTCTTTTCTTTTCTTTTCTTTTCTTTTTTTTTTTTTTAAGGTTTTTGCCATAAGGCATGTGCTCTTACAGGAGCCAGACAGAGACAGTGAGAGGGAAGGTGATCCTCCTCCCCCAGAGAGTGCAGCCATGCCACAATCCCTTCTCTTCCATTTTCCTCCTGGAATCTTGAGCATGCACAAACCCATGCCCTACATAACTTTTTTTGAGAGATTTTTTGCTATAGGGCGCATGCTCTACTGGAGAGACAGAGAGACAGAAAGCAAGAAATCACCTCCCAGAGGGAATGGTCATGCTATAATCTTTTCTCCTCCAGTCTCATCTTGGATTTGGGGCATGCACACACATGCCCAGCATGAGTTTTAAGCCATCAGGTCCTGGATTTGAACCACGGTTGACCACACAGGAGTCCACAGCCTCAACCACCATGCCACTGCTGCCCAGCATGATTTTCAAGCTACCAGATCCAGAACTAACCAAGGTTTACCATGTAACCACCACACCATCTGCCGGCCCAAAGCCCATATCTTAACCACTGTAAATGACTGGTTATACTTTAGGGACCTAGATATCTATGGATTGAAGTTAAATGTATCTTCTATTCAAAGTCTTCTGCAACACAATGGCACTGTTACCTGAATATTTACTGAAGAGGTTAACACTTTGGTTTAGGGCTTTATTCCCAGAGATAAGACTGCAAATCTCCTACCTTTTTACTGTCTAAATAGCTCCCAGGGTAAATCTCAAGGCTTGGAAAGATTTCAACCTACTGAAAAACTAGCATTAGTTGATTGGTTTATTTTCCCTTAAGACAACCAAGCCTACCACAATGAGTTGTTGGGATTCTAGACAAAAGCCAAAGAATTTGACTAACCTAGAAAAAATTAAAAATATCTATTGGGCTTCCTTGAAATGGAGAGAACAGCTCCCACACCATCATTAACATCTCAGAGAACCTCTTAGATGGTAACATTTATGGGTAGGAAAGGTTGGAGAGGTTTTTGCCTTTGGGATGGCCATGCCACAATCCATTCTTCTCCACTCTCCTCCTGGATCTTGGACACACGTGCACACATGCCGACATAACTGCTATGCCATCTCCTGGCCCCTCTGCTCTGATTTTTGTTGAAAGCTCCATTTGATAAGAAGGGAGTTGAGAACGGGAGGAAAGCAGGGTACTGAGTAATAAGGAAAGGAGAAAGGAAAGGTGAGAGGGAGATGGAGAGAAGAGGATGAGAGTTGCTCTGGGTAGGTATTCTGTTCTGAGGATGGTCTTTGTAGCTTTTCGCCAATTAGCAAAAAAAATAGAGCCTACTTCTCTTCAGACAAAGCAGGGTGGTGGTAGGAGAAGATCACAGATTTCTGGAGAGAGGCACATCAGGGATTCAATTCCTGTTTCTTCTTTTTACTACCTGTATCATTTCTGAATCTCACGGAATAAAATACTTATGGAGATTGTTACATATAAGATAGGAAATGTTTTTAAAAATCCTGGTATTAATAGGCATTGAACAAATGTTACTTATTAAAAGTTTTGGGAGCTACCATTTTGTATACAAGAGGTCTCAGAATGACATGCCTTGCAAAATTCATACTTTCTTATGAAATTCAAGTGTGGTCAAAATAAACTAGAAAGACCTCATGTTATTTTTAGTTGAGATATGTCAGACAAATAAGAAATCATGAACTTAGGCAGCAGGTGGGATGGTGGTAAAGGTGCTGCACTCCCACATGGTCGACAGCAGTTTGAGACCCAGACCTGGTGGCTTGCAGTCTCACTTTCCCTCTCTATCTCTGGTGAGTGCATGTGCCCTATAGCAATATTATTTTAAAAATAATTTTTTTAAAATAAAAGAAATCATGAACTTAATGAATCTGCTTATCCTAATGGAAGATAGATGTTGATGAAGACAGTAAACTGTCAGAATTTTTCATAAGTTCATCTTGATCACTTTTAGACTGAGAAGTAATGGTTTCAACATAAAGATTACTAAGAATGTACTAAGTGGCTTAATTTCAAGTTGGATCTTGCAACATAATTTTTTAAAAGAATTATTTTATTTAATTTTATTTGTTGTCATTATTTTGTTTTATCTTTTTGAAATTGACCAGAGAGAGACAGAGAGAGAGAAGGGAAGTGAGAAAGAAAGCAGATAGGTCTGGGACTCAAACCATGGTCAGTCATGTGGGAGTCTAGCTGCCTTAGCCACCACGCCGACTGCTAGCCCCTTGCAACATAATTTTTGTTTATTTCTGTTTTTAGAGTCCTCCAAGATCTTGTAGGTTGGAGGCCTGATGTTACAGGGGTTCAGTTTTCATTTGCAAGCTACTGCTGACTTTCTTGTTTTGTTTGTTGCTTGAGGTCATGGTACAATCTAAACAAATGGCCCTATCTCTCCAATCTGCAGTGGAAGGGAGGAGGAAGGTAGGTCCCTAGCACTACTCTAAGCCCCTCCTAAGCAAGGCTGCCTGTGTTTTTTTTTTTTTTTTGATTGGTTGGTTATGTTTTTGTATTTTTAAAGCTCCCCCTGGTATTTGCATATTCAGTGAACACTCTTGCCAGGTTTCTAAACAAAGACAGTAAAATAAAATAAAACAATCAGCCTTCATTATAACTAACTTCGGAACCAGCAGATCGCATAGCAGACACTACATGGCTGACCGCAGTTCAAGTCCCAGACCTGGTGACTTGAAACTCATGCCAGTCACGTGTGCATGCATGTCCAAGATCTTGGGAGAAGAATGGAGGAAAAGGGACTATGGTGATCCCTTCTGGGGGGTGATCTCTCCCTTTCCCTTTCACTATTTCTGTCTCTCTCATATGTCCTAAGGCAAAAACCTCTACAAAAATAAATAAATAAATAAATAAATAAATAAATAAATAATGCCCCAATTCAAAGAATGAATAAGGTAGATGTGTACTGTCTCTCTGCCCCCCACAGAGAGCTGTTTCTCTGGGAAACTGGTTTGGTCAGGCGAGGGTAGACAGATATCTTTCTCTAGTTCAGGCATATTCCGGAGACAGGAGTTGAAAATCAGTCTACATTTGGCAGACTTCCGTAAAATTGGTCAGGAGCTCTTTGCACTAACCCAATGTGAGTGCACATGCCCTCTAGCAAATTAAAAACAAACAAACAAAAATTAAATGTGGGTTGTATGGGCCAGCACGTGGTGTGGAGGTTAAGGTGACTGGATGCCACATGGTCAGCTTCTTGTTTCAAGCTTCAGATCTGGCAGCTTGAAAATCATGCCAGGGGTGTGTGTGTGTGTGTGTGTGTGTATGTGTGTGTGTGCGCGCACACACACAAAATCATGCCAGGTGTGTGTGTGTGTGTGTGCGCGCGCGCACACACAAAATCATGCCAGGTGTGTGTGTGCGCGCGTGCATGCCCAAAATCCTGAGAGGAGAATGGAAGAGAAGGTATCACAGTGTGGCCATCTCCCCTAAGGGTTGATTCTCACTCCTCCCTCCCCTCTCTCTGTCTCTCTCTGGCGAGTGCACAAGCCCTATAGCAAAAACAAACAAACAAAACATTAAGTTGTGACCCATTAGTAGGCTGTTATCAATCGACTGGTTGATTGATAGGTTGGAACTGGCATTTGGAAATTGACTGCCCTGTGGTTACTGGATGCTGTTAATGAACAAGAGCAATGCTGTGCGTTATGCATGGGACTGTTCCTCCTCAGCAGCTCCATAGCCTGGTCACCGGTACATGACTTAAAAGTCGTTATACAGTGCATGACTGTACTTTATGTTGGAAAATAACGCTCATGGTGTTTTTCTTTTTTTTAGACTTATTTGATTTAATATTCTTTATTATTATGTTTTTGATTTGACCAGAGAGAGAGGGAAAAAGAGAAAACAAGCCACCAGATCTGGGACTCAAACCATGATTGGCCATGTGGAAATCTAGTGTTTTAACCACCACTCCACCTGCTGGCCCTGAGATCCCTTTCATCTTAATCCATGTGAATCTGACAAGGCTGCAAGGTAGCCACTTCGAATGGAGAGGAAAGAAGATGAACAGGAAGCAAATGCTATAACAAGAGGACCTGAGAGATGAACACCAGAAAGGTAAAATAAATTTTTTTAAGAGAATCGTTCAGTTTGGTCCTGTCCCAACTTCCCAACCTTATAACTGCCCTTTAGCATATTTAAAATAGTAATAATAAATAAATAATTCTTTAAAAACAAAACACTGTTTCAGAGTTACTGATGAGAAGAGACTGTAGCTCTCGCTTTTATGGTATCTCTGAGTTGGAAAGAACATTGCAGTCTCCTGCGTTGTTCCCTCCTGCCCCGCCCCCCTGCTCCCCTCCTCTGGTTCTGTATCTAGTCTTTCTGCTCCTCCCACCCCTTTGCAACTCCTTCCCACCCCACTCCTGGGGTACCTGCGTAAGTGTGCAGGTGCTGGGCTTAATAGCTACTAAGGGTCTTTCCATTTGTCTTTGGTGGTCTGCAGCATGTACCCCACACACTTCTGGAGCCCAGAAATGCATGTATGAATTTTGGGGTTTGTGTAGTGGGCAGGACTCAAAAACGGGTGGTCAGAGTTTAGATAAAGTCTGCAGCAAAGGTTCTCTGCAGAAGCCCAGGTTTTCCAAGGAGTCACATAAGTATAAATTAAAAAGATATATTCTAGTCCCAAACATTCTTTCAATTCATATTAAAGGAAAATATAAACCATTATTATTAATATTTTAATTAAAAGGGAGCATTGGATTTAAGAGTTTGAGAATTATAGGACAGTAGAGTCAGAAGTACATCCAGTTAACTCTCTTCACCCTCTTCCACCACCACACCCAAGTCACCAGTCTGTGTTTCAGGTTGACAAGGCTAGGCCAGGGAGATTCTAGCTGAGGAGGATAGAACTAAGTCTTCAAAGCATTGTTACAAGGGTGGTGTGGTGGTTAAGGCACTAGACTCTCATGTGGCCAGCCATGGTTCAAGTCCCAGAACTGGTGGCTTGCTTTCTCACTTTTCCTCTCTCTCTCTCTCTGGTGAGCACACATGCTCTGTAGCACATTTTAAAAAATTAATAATGATAATAAAATTAAATAAGCAATTCTTAAAAAAAATTGTTGTAGAATTACAGTTGAGAAGGGTTTGGATCTCAAGCAAGGATAGTTTCATTTTCTATTTTTTTTTTTCTAATTGCCAGAGGGTGTGTGTACTGGCCAGAGAGGGAGGGAGAAAGTGCCAGCACCCCCGCCCTCCCCCATAGGGTGTCATACTGGAACCCCTTCTCCATGTCTCCATTCTATAGGGATGTGGGATATGCATGCCATGTACCCAGCATGTTTTCCAAGCCCTCTGGGCTGGGACTGAACCACAGTCAGCTATGTGGCATCTGGCTTCCTTAATCACTAGGCCACAGAGCCAGTACAATAATTGTCTAATGTATTTGTTTTTATTTTAATATGCCAGAGAGTAACTGTGCTTGCCAGAGAGAGACAGAGAGAAAAGGGAAAGTGAGAAAGGAACCCCATGGGGAATGGTCACATCACAATACCTTCTCTTTAATCCCTCCCTCCTTTTGGGATTTTGGGCATACACGCACACACATGCCTGGCATGTTTCTTCAGCTGCTGGGTCAAGGATTCATACCACACAGTTGGCCATGTAGGATCTAGTTGCCCTAACTGCCAACCCATAGGCTGGCCCAGAATGGTCTAATTTCTGTCAAATTCTTAAAAACAAAGCTTTTTCTTTTTCTTTTCTCTTCTTTCCCTTTTTCTTTCTTTCTTTCTTTCTTTCTTTCTTTCTTTCTTTCTTTCTTTCTTTCTTTCTTTCTTTC